AGAGAGAGAGGAGGAGGAGGAGGAGGAAGGGAAGGCGAGGGAGAGAGAGATGCATGACACAGTTTGACTAAGTATGTTGTGTTTAGGGGTCGGTGCTTCAGCTCTGATGTGTGATCATCCTGCCCTGTGACTTCATGGCGTCTTTCTTGAGGCTTAGTCCCCGCTGACAGCGCCATGTCACTTCTCATTAGCAGCCCACACGTCACTCGGCCCAGCTCATGTACACTATCACTGACCTGTCACATTGCTTTAAAGACACTAGGCCTCTATTAGGCCCATTTGCATTGCTTAAAGCCAATTGAGGGGATAAAGAAATATCCTGCCGAGCTTTTTATGTATCAATTCACAGAGTCAGGGCCGGCTTGGCCCAAATGGAGACAAATGGTCTTCTTTCAAGGACAGCCATCCTGAGTCATCCACAGCCTCACGATGGAGTGGCTGCCACCCAAACGGCTGTGCCAAAAGCAGCAGCCTCCAGGGCTGATGCTCTTATTTAATTCTTTTCTATTGAAGAAGGCTTATAGAAGCTTCTGGAGCTTGGGGATATGGGTAGAACCACCCACTAGGACAATGCTATTATCTCTGACTTGTCCGTTTAGCATCTCGCAGAGTCTCCTCTTCAGGGTGCAGGTCAGCCCCCAACTCTTCACATCGAGCGTGAGTGATGGAAGTAAAGAAGTGGATTCCTTCCTAGAGGGAATCAACCTCCATACTGGCTTGGGTGCTGGAAGAGATAGTTCTCTTAGCTCGGTCACATGCAGGCCGGCCTGGTTTTATGGTTTTTTGAAAAAATTTTTATTTTAAAGAGAATAAAACAAAGCAAAACATGGGGCCAGGGATTTAGCTCAGTGGCATAAGCACCTGCCTGGCAAGCATGAGGTCGTGAGTTCGATCCCCGGTACCAAAAAAAAAAAAAAAAGAAAAAAAAATGAAGCAGAATAAAGCAGATCAGAACAAAACAATGCAAGCAACACAGGACTTCAAAACAACAGGAAGTCAACAGAGGCTGCCATGATATCTCTTGTTTCCTTGGAAACAGTTGTCCATATCTTCACACACAATGAATTCATAGACGACAAAATAGTATAAAAAGGATCAAAACAAAAGAATGAAAACATTATAGGTCTTCAAAACCAAACAGGAAAATCAAAATGGCTATCACAATGTCTTTTGTTTTCTTCAAATTAGCTGTCTGGTTTTTCCCTGGTTTCTTTCCTTTTTGGGGGCACTGTTCATGTGTTTAATACTCAAGTGGGGATGGAATCATGCATTTCCTGAATGCTAGGTGATTGCGCTACTACTGACCTACATTGCTGACTCTTTTTATTTTATTTTGAAACAAAGTTTCAAAAAATTGCCCAGGCTGGCATGGAATTTGTGATCCTCCTGCCTCTGCCTCCCAAATAACAGGGATTATAGATTGGCACTAGCATGTTTTCTATTTCATTTCATTTTATTTTATTTTCAGTTTTTGAGACGGGGTCTTGCTGTGTAGCCTAGCCTCAAACTTGCAGTGATCCACCTGCCTCAGCCTCCTGAGTGCTGGGATTTAATGGGCACCACCATGCCTGGCATCGATGGGTTTTTAATCTTAATTTTTAAAGATGGGAGCTGTTTTTGTGGTGGAGCTGTTGAAGCTGAATACATGTGCAGTGCTGTGGCGTGGCCCAGGCATGGCTGAACAGAAAATGAGGAGATACCTCAGGAGGCAAGATAGGCCACAGCTGAAGCCACTGGAGACCTTTCTGGGTAATTTTCCTTAATTGGCATCACCTGTTGCTCTGAGGGCTCCTTGAACCCCCCCTCCCAAGGTCCTGCTCAGGTTTCCCGCATTTTCCACTCAACTCTTTGCATGTTCTGATTAAATAAGGGCTTCCCAGGGTCAGTCAGCTGCTAGCTAGCAGTTACGGACACTGCAGAGGATTTTAGTTCTCCTGGAGCCCTAAAGACCATGCCATATGTCTCACTCCTTTGGGCCTTTGCTGTGTGCCCGTTTGGGGGATTGGGAATCTGGACACAGACCCCAACATTTTTGCTTGGCAGTAGTTTTGCTTTTGTTTCTGTCCTCTGTGTGTGTGTGTGCTGAGGATCCAAGCCAGGCCCTAATGTGGTAGGTAACTTCTCTTGTCACTAACCTGTACCTGGTCTGGTTAATGGGCTCTTCTTTTAGAAATGGCTCACCAATCAAAAGCATAGCAGTCCTTTTCACCTTGAAAAAAGAATTGAACCAGACAGACAAAAACAGTGCTAAAAGTTTATCTGAAAAGTGCAGGGTAAATGAGTAGGGAAGAAACCAGTTCTGCAGAGTAAACTCAGCAGAACAAAGACAAAATGAGGGTGAAAGCACAGGTGGAAGTACACTCTGAGAAAGGCGGCTTTTTGTGGGGGCCCCTCTTCCTTTGCCCCCCACAACTGAGAGCACAGAAGTCCTATATACCGATCCTATTACCCTGGTGATAAAATAGGGGACCAAAACTCCCAACCTATTATTTGTCCGGAAAAGTCTGTGTTCTCTGAAATCGAAGAATTAATTTTAGGAACGATGGAGGTTAAGAGCAGAAATATTTATTGAGAGAAAGAAAGAGAGACAGAAGAGGTCCCGAGTGGGTTGCCAAAGATTCTGCCAAACGTACTAGGGAACTTTATAGAGTAAAACCATGAGGTGAGGTGGGTCTAAAATGGGGAAAACTGGGAACTCTCGAGGTGATGGGCATGAGGTGGGATAGAACTCTGGTCAACCAATAAGATTAATAGCTCAGGTAAAATTGATTAAATTGGGAACAAATGGGGAAGCAAGTCACATAGCAAGCCAGCATTCTTTACGGATCAGGGACTCTCCTTATAGGGGATTGGAATAGTGACTCCTGGCTTCTGAAGATGATCCAGACTTAATCCCTAAGGATTACATTTTAGGGTGTGGTTGCATTCATTTTGCCTTCTGTTTTGAGATCAGGCCCACTGCAAGAGGTGTGTGTCATCTCGAAGGTCACCAGACATCTGGCCCTCTGTGCCAGCTTCTTTGAGGGTTTAGTCCTGTGTGACTGCCTATAATATTTCTAACTAGCTTGGCTGCCTGTAACACTGGAATCTTGTGATTGACAGGTCTCACTCATCTTCACCAGCCAGGTTCGCCCCGCCTCATCTCCTCTATCCCAACATCTTCATTTTAATGTTTTCATATTTATATTCATTCACTCATTCCTCCCTCGCTGTCTCTGTAGATGCCTACATGTGTACACATTAGCTGACTGACATAAAGCCAAGACTCTTTACTTTGCAAGTACCAGGCTCCAAGTTTTGGGCTCAAGCAACACCCTATCCCCCACCCCCCACCTCAGCCTCCTGTTGAGGAGCTGGGACTACACGGCTTGCCACGGTGACTTTTAACTGCCAGGGACATAGTGAATAAACAAAATCACTGGTGATGAATGCCCTTATCTTTCTATTCCAGACTCTCTGGCTCTGCTGCCTTCATTTGGCAATGATGACAACGGACAGAGCCACACAAGGTCTCCCATATACTGTGCCAAGGAGGAACTAACACAGGCAACTGTGAAACCCAGGGCGGGGCACGTCCTCAAGGAGAAGAGGAAAAACACAAGGAATCCCAGCTCCTTTCCTCTGCTCAGCTCCACTGCTTCTGGAAAATGAGAACTCAAATACGCACCCAATAAATGACCCAATCAATACCTACAGTGAAGTTTCTCTAGGTGACGTAGCACAGGCCTATAATCCCAGCACTTTGCGGGGCTGAGGCCAGTGTCACAAATTCAAAACCGGCCTGGGGTACATAGCTGCACCTTGTCTAAAAAAACAAAAACAATAGCAACAAAAAAAACCCAACCAACAGTAGGGAGGCGTGGGGGCACATATCTGTGATTCCCACACACTCAGGAGGCTGAGGCCAGCTTGGGCCCCAAAGTGAATTCTGAACTGCATAGCAAAACTCTGCCTCAAAAAGATAACAACAACAACAATAGGAAGTCTGGAGTAAAGTATGTCAAATTGCTTACTTTGTTCTTCTGAAGAGGACTAGGATATATGGATATGTTTTTTCTTTCTTATTTATTTTTTTTTTTTTCAGACAGTCTCATGCTAGTCCAGGCTGGCCAATCCTCCTTGTTACAACCTCCCAAAGTTCTGGTATTATAAGCATGCACCACCATACCTGGCAGTTTAATTTTTAACCTAGGACTTTTGGCCCTCCTTTTTTTAAACCTTGAAATCGGGTCCTGATAAAACTGACCAGGTTGGGCTCTAATTTTAGATCCTCCTGCCTCAGCTGCCCAGATTCCTGGGATTACAAAACATGACAAGTGGCGATTGGAGGTAAATTTTATGTTTGTTTTACGTGAAAAAAATTTTTGAGACAGGGTTCACACTGTAGTGCAGGCTGGCCTTGAATTCATTTATGTAGTGCCTGCTGGTCTCGAACTCTCCGCGATCCTCCTGCCTCTACCTCCAGAGTGCTGCAATTATAGACGTGCACCACCATATCTACCTTTTATTTGATATGTATATATTTTACAAACAAAATGCATTACTTTTGTAATCATAAAATTGCACCCGAGATTTCTGAAAACCCTCCAACCTCCTTTTTTTTTTTTTTTTTTAAAATTTTCAACCTCTTTTTTACTTGAGGCATTTGGTAGTTCCTGCCAAATTCATTTCTACACTCTCCTCGGTCCAATATGGGGTTCAAGGTTGATATGCGCGGGAGCAAAAGAGTTCTAGCAGGATACAGACACGCGGATCATAAGTAGCACCAATTGTTTTCAGTCCTCAATTTATTAATACACAGTAGTGGACATAAGATGCTGTTTTTCAAGGCAGTCACATTTTAGCAAGTCAAGTGCTTCGAATCTACTTCACCTGGGTCGCACAGCACCTTGCTCCAGCATTTAAACCTGCCCCTCGTCGCGCTACTTGACCAAAGGCTCGCGCTTCACGCATGCGCCCTACACTCCAGCTCCCAGTGCCCTCCGCCCCCCGTAGTTCTGCAAGTCACTGCCTGGAGGCGGAAACAAGTGGGAGCGGCCCGAGTTAGTCCCGCCCCGGAAGTAGGTGAAAGCCGCGCCCTCTAAAGTCGCCCGGCCGTCTTTCACTTGGATTGCGGCTGCGGCCGGTCCTGGCTTTGTAGCGCGCTCAAGATGGCGGTGCAGCCATCAAGCGGGATCCGCCTCAGCGCGGTGAGCAGTCGCGATGGGTGGAGCAGGCCGGGTCCCTGGAGGGCGGGCGGGCGGACCATCGAGGTGGGGCGTGGGCAGTGGTGCCGCGGGTTCGGCGCGGCGGCCGGGGCAGCGACGCACCGGGGAGGGACAGCCATCTCGCTGCCGTCGGTGGGGTGGATCGGAGGCGGCGGGGCGGGGCGGGGTGGGTCCCTGACCTCGGCGCAGGCTTCCGTGTGGACCTCGGACTTCGCAGCCGTCGTCGGAGGGCGCGGCCGTCGGGTTCGGGGCCTTGGCCCTGCCCCGTTGGCGGGCCCGGGGCCTGGCTTTCCGGCAGCGGGTTGGGGTCGGGTCGGGGTCCGAATCCGGGGGAGCTGAGGCAGGTGGGGCTTTAGGCGCGTTAGGCGTCTTCAGTCCCTGCCGCACCCCAGGTCCCGGATCGCCCGGCTCTCCAGCTCCTAGATCGCGTCGGTTGCTAGTTCTTGAAGACCCCCCCCCCCGCGCCGACCCCACCTCCCCTGTCACCGAGGTGGAAGGGGTGGATTTCAGGTCCTCAAAATAATGGGCGTGGCGTCCTCACCTGGGCACCAGTACTAGTATCAGGAAAAGTTTGAGTGGCCGCTGGCGCTGTTGATAAAACCGACCTCTGCCAGTGCTTAGATACGCGAAATATATGTTATTCGGGTTTCATTCAGTTGATTAGCCAGGCAGAGTCGCACTTCCAACATTTTTTTTTCAACCTGGGGTCCCTGTGTGTGTGTGTGTGTGTGTGTGTATGAGAGAGAGAGAGAGAGAGAGAGAGAGAGAGAGAGAGAGAGAGAGAGAGAGAAAAGTGAGATCTGGTTTCACTTTCGTTTGCTTGACTAGTTGGCAAGAGGAGCGTTTTTTGACGTTATTTTTGTTATTTTTTGGATTGCCTATTCATACCGCTTTCCCATTTTTCTTATTTCCTTTTTTTCTTTTGTTTCTGTTTCGATGGATGAGAGTTGTTTACGTTGTTGGGTGAATGAGATGATCTTTAGTGCAATGTGAAGAACAAGTTTATTCCTCACCACTGGCTGTAAAAGTTGTGTGTTACTGTGCCCCTCAGTTGCCTGAATCTGGTCAGTTTCTGCGGTTTCCAGTTAGCCTGAGGTATTAGGAGGTGTTTGTCGTTTTCTGTGGCCGAGAAGGTTGTCCTGTCATGGAGGGCACACCTAGCTAACTGAGGCTCCAAGTTTAATCCTCAGCGCTGAAGATCTTGGACACTTTTAAAGCTGGGTTCAGAAGGGCACCCCCAGTTTGAGTCACATTCAGGCCTGGAAACCTGTAGAGATCTGGAAGCGGGTTGATTTCTTTGTTTTTTTTTTCCTCCCTGGCAGTGAGACTTGAAATCAGGACGTTCCCTCGCGAGGCAGGTGATGTGTGCTGAGCTTATATCCCTGGTCCAACGCATTGCTTTCTTACCTGGTTCTGCACTTTGATTCTCTTTTGCTTTCTCTGCCTCCTCCCTTGTTTCTGGCTGTGGTTCTTCAAGATGGATGTGAAAATGCAACCAGAAAGAAGGCAGCCAAAGCACTTTCCAAGTTGGGAGTGTACCTGTCTGGAGAACAGCTTGCCTGACATAGGTGTGGCCTGGGTTCTATCTTCAACCAAAAATAAAACCAAAAATTGTTCTTTCAAGAGGTGGGTGTGTCAGCGGGCTATCTGGATCCAGCAGCTGTCTGCTGTGTGGGGCACATGGGGTGTGTGGAACCTCATTGACAGGACTGTCAGCAGCTTCTGGACAGAATTGCTATGGGTCTCTGCTTGCTGTTTGAGACAGAAATTGGCAATTGGCATACTGCAGCTCAGGGGCCTAATTCAGGTGGGCATCTGTTTCTGTATGGCGTGTAATGTGGAATATATAATCTCATAAAGTTTTATTGGGACACATCTGTGTGCATTCATTTACACATACAGTAGCTTTTGTAATAACTCGGACCCCATTATAAAATCCAAGGAAGCAAGAGACTGAAATTTGGGAAGCAAACGCTTTATTTCCAGGCCTGGTGACGAGTCTCCGGGAGCCAACTTGGAGACGGCTGCCAGAGACTGAAGGGAGGACTTTAAAAAGAGGCTGGAGGAAAAGGGGGGGGGGACAAAAAAGAAACCTGCAGAGCCATCAAACTTGTTGACCCGAATCTGGAAACTGTATTGCTGTCCACTTAGTTCTGACAACCTCAGGAGCCTTTGGCGCCTTTTGAGTTACTCCCATCCTGCAGATAAGAATTATCTGCAATAACATTTGGAGAAGAAAGTAGAAAGCTAATTATCTCAAGACAGCTCGTTAACACTAACAGGTGGGAAGGGGTCCAAAGTTACAAGAAACTAAAACTTAAGCCTTCACAAGGATTTGGAACTTAACCCTTTTGGTGCATTAGGGTTAAGCCACAACATTTTCCTGTAATTTCTTTGAAGCTAAGGCACATTTTATGACAGACCACCACTGGGTCAGGAAGAGGTCACCAGAAACCCAAAATCTTGATGGCCTAGCCTAGATAGATAGGTAAGGGGAGAGGGGAGGCAATAAGGCGCCATACAGAACAGAAAGTGGCTGACCTTGAATCCCAGGGCTCAAACTCTTAGCCATCCTCCTGCCTCAGCCTCCAAAGTGCTTGGATTACAGGTGTGCACCGTCACAGCCAGCAGTGCCATTTGTTGTGTATAGATGACCTCCTGAAGCCTCATGCGCTTTTACAGTGGAGTTGCACAGTGGAGTTCTTTTTTGGTACCAGGAGCTGAACTCAGCACTTCTTGAGTGCCACGCAGACACCATGCCTCTGAGCTACATCTCCAACTGCTATTTTTTGTAGTTGAGTATGTTTTTTTTTTTTTTTTCCCAGAAGTCCCGCAGTAGGTTTAGCTGTAAGAGCACCCTTTCCCCCCCTTTTGGTCGAATTACTTTATGGATTCTTTGTCTTTTTTTTTTTTTTTTGCCATGGTACCAGGGATCGAACTCCCGACCGCCTGCTTACAAGGCAAGTGCTTATGCCACTGAGCTAATTCCCCAGCCCCGGTTCTTTGTCTTTCTTTCTTTCTTTTTTTTCAACAGATTTTATTGGTACATTTTAGATAGACATAATGATCACATTCATCAGAGTTACTTTTTTTTTTTTGTCTTTTTTCTTTTTTGTTGGTACCCGGGATCGAACTCACGACTGCCTGCTTGCAAGGCAGGCGCTTATGCCGCTGAGCTAAATCCCCAGCCCCTATTTTCTTTTTTTTTAAAAAATGCATTCTTTTCATTGACTATATTTTCCATATAGCTGTATTTCCCTGAAGGTAGTAATTGATTTATAGTTTGCTTAGTTTTCTGTGTACTGATCACTAGATAATCCAGTCCAGATTTTCAGAAGAGCTGGAAAATCTTTTCCAGATGAGTCCAGACACACCCAGTATTTTACCATTTGGGAGTCACTAGCATAGTTTTGATTTGGGGACTTCCCATTAGCATTTTTCTGGGACTTTTCTTCCTCCTTTCCTGTTTCCCTACTTCAGTGTCTTTTTTTTTTAATTTGGTCCCTCACCAAAAACTGTCATTCAGCGATTGGGCCCTGGCTCTGGAGCCAGCCACCCTTGTTAGTTCTGAATGGTAGACTTGGGGAAGTTACCTCAGGCAAGGCGCTTAACCTCTTTGTATTCCAGTGGCCTATCTCAGTGGTGGCACTAACAGTCTGGCCCACCTCAGATTATTGTTTTTAAAAATCAGGTGAACAACTACCCAGGTGCTCAATAATACTTGCATTTTTATTACTATTTGTGTTGGTAGATCACATCATCTCCAAAAATAGGCTTAGTTTCCTGAGAATAGAGGAGAAAAAGAAAAATTACAGCATTTCCTGAAGATACGTTCATGCTAACCTTGCTCTTTCTTGACATATAGTTTGATTGGTTTGGGTTCTAGCTTACAAAAGTATTTGTCCGGATTTTAAAGTTGTGCATTATTTTTTGACAGAATGTATATGTCACATTGGATACAGCCTGGAAATTTAAGTCTTTAAGATCTAGAATGTATTTAGCAATTGTTTGTACATATTTTGTGCATTTTTTTGTATTGCATATTATAATGTACATTATTATTAACTGTAGTGCTCTTTAGATCTCTAGACTTATTTCTCCTGTGGAAAACCAACTACATAGCCATTGGCCTACCAGTAGCAAATTTAATTGCATATAAAAATACATTTTTATACTTTTTTGTTTTTGATGTTACAATTTACATCATTTTGTGTACCTCTTTAAGGAATATTGTAGCCATTTTTACATTTATTTTACAAATTACTTCCCTCTTTTTCTGTTTTCTTTGTTTCCTCTTTCTCATTATTATTTTCTTTTTCAGAGTACTCTTTCTACTGGAACTAGCTTTCTCTTACCATGCTGTAAAATTCTTACGAACGCCAACTTTTAAAATTCATCCTCCACAGAATACTTGTTCTTATTGCTGGACCTATTAGCCATTTTTTTTGTGTGTGTATTTTCTTTTATTCACTGCATTGTTACTGTTTTCTTTATTTTTTCCCTGTGTATTTTTTTTTTTTCTTGTTTGTTTGTTTTGGTGTCAGGAATTGAACTCATGACCTTTTACTTCCCAGTAGGCACCTGGCCCGCTGAGCTAAATCTCTGGTCTTTTGGTTTCTAATTTTAGACATTTGCAAATGTCTGGAGATAGTTTGTGTTCACAGTGTGTTGTGGACCTCTTCAGGGCTAGTTAGGCCAAAAAATACCCTTCAGATCACTCAAAACATTTAGAAGTAACTTGTAAAAATGCGAATAACAAAAATAAGATGTTACCCAGAAAGACCAGGTTGAGTTGTAAAAGAGCCAAAGGGAACTTTTAGATATCAGTTTCTCCAGAGTTGTGTGTCTTGTATCCTGCCATGCTAAATATCATGCTGGCCACTAGCTCTTTGGAAGATTGGTCTGAAAAGGAAGGTAGGACTATTGTGGTGTTCTTTTTGCTAATTTGCTGTTTGTTAGGTTGTTTGTTATGGTAAAATGCC